TTAGACAATAATTATTAAAATAAAAAATATTTATTAATTAAAAATTACCTAATAAAATAATGCAACGTGTTTCAGTATTTCAATATTTATTTATTTATATAAAAAAATATTTATTAATTGATTTAACAATAGTTTTTGTAAAAATAGTTTCTATAAAACTCTAAAAATTACCTAATAAAATCAATCACATTCTATATAACTCCCATGCCAGTTATGATTATGTAATTATCAGAAAAGGACACATTTCATCATCTTACTAATCTAAGAAGCCTATAAATAGAGGCATGGAGGAAGGAAGAAATGGTACAGAAATTGAAAATTCTAGAAATTCAGAATTCTAGAGTAAAATACAGAAACTCTCCAAAGAATTTCAGTATTTCAATATTTATTTATTTATATAAAAAATATTTATTAATTGATATAAAAAGAGTTTTTATCTATACTATTATTACATGTGCAAAGAGTTTCAGTATTTAAGTATTTATTTATTTATATAAAAAAATATTTAAAAAACTAAAATCTAGATAATAAAATTTAAATTAACCTATTTATCTATTTATTATTATGAATTTTAAATAAAAGAAAATCTAACTGGACAATAATTATTAATATAAAAAAATATTTATTAATTGATATATAAAACAAAATAATTTTTCTAAAACTCTACCACAAATTAGCTTTTATTATGAGTTTCTTAATAAAATTAAATCTAATTAGACAATGATATATTTAAAGAAAATAAAATAATTTTTATAAAAATCTATCACAAATTACCTATTTTATTTTCAATAAAACTCTATCACACTAGATAAAGATATATTTAAAGAGTTTGTATAAAACTCTAATACAAATTACCTATTTATCTATTTATTATGAATTTTTTAATAAAATGATATCTAATTAGACAAGTATTATTAATATTAGAAATTATTTATTAATTGATAAAAAAATAGGTTTTAAAAGAATTTCTATAAATCTCTAATACAAATTACTTATTTATCTATTTATTATGAGTTTTTTTTTAATAAAAGTAAATCTAATTAGACAAGAATTATTAAAATAAAAAATATTTATTAATTGCAAAATTACCTAATAATATCAATCACATTCTATATAAAGCTCTTATTTTTAGTTCAATATAAAAAGAATAGTTATTTTTTATGGATAATTATCACAATATAACCGGCCCGCTCAGTTATGATTATGTCATTATAAGAAAAGGACACATGTCATAATCCTATTAATCCAAGAAGCCTATAAATAGAGACATGGAGGAAGGAGGAAGGAGTACAGAAATTGAGAATTCTAGAAATTTAGAATTACAGAGCAAAATAGAGAAGCTCTGCCAAAGAGTTTTTAACTATACTATTATTAGATGTGTAAAGAGTTTCAGTATTTATTTATTTATATAAAAAAAATATAAACACTAAAATCTACATAATAAAGATTTTATATAAAACTCTAACACAAATTACCTATTTATCTATTTATTGTGAGTTTTTTAATAAAATGAAATATAATTAGACAAGTATTACTAATATAAAAAATTATTTATTAATTGATATAAAAAGAGGTCCAAAAGTGTTTCTATAAAAAAACTCTAACACAAATTACCAATTTATCTATTTATTATGAATTTTTTTTTTAATAAAAGTAAATCTAATTAGACAAGAATTATTAAAATAAAAATATTTATTAATTGATATAAAAAGAATTTTTAAAAGAGTTTAAGTTAAACTCTAATACAAATTACCTATTTATTTATTTACTATAAGTTTTTTAATAAAAGAAATTCTAATTAGACAAGAATTATTAATATAAAAAATATTTTTTAATTGATATAAAAAATAAAATAATTTTTCTAAAACTCTGTCACAAACTACCTTTTTTTTTTTTTTTTAATAATAAAAGCTAATTTAATTTGACAAGAATTATTAAAATTTAAAAATATTTATTAATTGATATAAAAAGAGTTTTTAAAAGAGTTTCTATTAAACTCTAACACAAATTACCTATTTATTTATTTATTATAAGTTTTTGAATAAAAGAAAATATAATTAGGCTAGAATACCTCTATCACAAATTACCTATTTTATTTTCAATAAAATTATAATACATTAGACAAAGATATATTTTAAGATTTTCTATAAAAACTCTAATAGAAATTACCTATTTATCTATTTATTTTAAGTTTTTTAATAAAAGGAAATCTAATTAGACAAGTATTGTTAATATAAAAAATTATTTATTAATTGATATAAAAAGAGGTTTTAAAGAGTTTCTATAAAACTCCAACACAAATTACCTATTTATTTATTTATTGAAATCTAATTAGACAAGAATTATTAATATAAAAAAATATTTATTAATTAATATAAAAAGAGTTTTTAAAAGAGTTTCCTATAAAATTCTAATACATATAACCTATTTATTATGAGTTTATTTTAATAAAAGAAAATATAATTAAACAAGAATATATTTAAAGAAAATAAAATAATTTTTATAAAATCTACCACAAATTGGGTGTTTTATTTTTTATAAAACTCTATCACATTATCTACAAAACATTAAACACGTGCATCGCACGTGCCTTTTCCTAGTATATATAAAAGTGGTGTCTGTACTATCAGCGTAGTCCAGGGGCAACAATAGGGTTATTATCTAGTGTGAGACGGTTCATATTATCATGGTGCACACACTAATCTAGCCCATTGGAGTATTTAAATGTATGTGGATTGATTGGGCGTGGTGCGAGTTCATGGAGATTCAGTGTGCTACAAGTCTGAGCCTTAGATGTCGATTGATTTAATAGAGAACGGATTTAGTGCAGCGCAGGCGCATGGAGAACCATGCAGCTGCGAGAAACGATCTGGTGCGGCGCGCACTATCAGAGTTGATGCAGCGTTGAATCAGAGTGCGCCACATGTCAGCATCTTAGTCTTTAATCCGGTGTGAACGCGCTCATAGTATCGATTGAGCTCAGCCTATTATTTTACTTATTTTGTTACTTGAAATTTAAATGGTCATAATTTAGTCATCTTAAATCGAAATTGAGTCATTCTTGAGCTCAAATTTAAGGATTTTTCGTACTCTTTTCAATGGTACCAATTTCATTATCAGATTCTCATCCTACTAGGAGATATTTACGTTTTAGTAAGACGGTGTTGGAAAACTATTTAAATCGAGATGGAGTATTTAGGGGAAACTATTTCTGACATATTTAGTAGCATTTAATTTGCATAAATATAATAAATTAATGATTTATTACGGAAGGAAGTGGATATATATATATATATATATATATATATATATATATATATATGTATATAATTTATATATGTGTATAGTTATATATGTATATATATAGTTTATATATATATATATATATATATTATACACATATATTATATAATATATATGTGTGTGTATATATCTCATTTAAGGTGATTAATTTTAATTATTCTTATTTGGTATATCTGGATAAGCTGGTTAGTAAAGTAATGTTATGCTTATTACAATATATGAGTTGTCTGTGTGTGATTTAATTTATCGTTAAGTTTAAAGTTGGTACATGGTTGAATTGTAGGCATGGGTGAGTTGCCATAGGCATAAATATATTGCCTAAGTATTTGTATGAATAAAATACATACATAAGAGGCATGGTTGAGTTGCCAATATATAAATAAATATATTTATAATAGCATGGTTGATTTGCCAAAAGTATAAATAAATATACTTAAGGAGGTATGATTGAGTTGCCAATATATAAACAAATATATTTATAATGGCATGGTTGATTTGCCAAAGTGTAATTATATTATTGTGTGTTAGATGAATAAAATATCATCTATGGTTATTATATGTATAGGTTGGATTAGGATTAGATATTCTTAAATTAGAATAGTCTAGTACTTACAGGTTAGTGTATTATTTTATACATATTAATAAAATAATACTGGTAAAGACATGAATGATTTGTCAAAGCTTAGATTTTGGATATGTGATTTAAATAATTAAAATCATTATCGGGTTTTGGAATTTAATATAATATTTTTTTTGTTATAATTTATTGCTTAAATGATTAAACAACTGACTAGGATGTGATTAAGGTTAAATGTATTTCTTTTCAAAATAAATAGTAGATTGGTCTAGGAATGATTATTATTTTAATAATTATTTAATAGGTATGGAAATTTAACAAACCTATTAATGGATGTGATTAGTATAGCATATATAATTATATATAGATATGTATATCGTGCTTTATTAAAGTTAAAACTTTATTAGGTTTGGTTTTGATCAGAGATGATCTATTTATTGGTTTTCAGAGGTCTAGTAGAGTGAACTTGCTCGTAGGGTTTAACCCACGATTTGTTTTTCAGGTTACTAGAAGTTCCAAGTCTTAAGGTTGAGGATCCGTAGCTGGAGGACTTATCCATTCTTTCTATTTTATTTCAAAGTAGGATATTATTACTTCAGTATGTAGTGATGAATTTCTGGATAATGGAGTTTGGTTAAGGGGTCCTTGAGTTACGGGATTCCTGAGCTGTAACCATTCGAGAGTTATTAATGGATTTATTATTTAATAGATTTTCCTTCAGCGAGTTATTTATTCTTTTTATTTTCTTTTTGTACTCTGTGCTTGTTTGAAATACTTTAATTGTTTTGATATCCCTTAATTTTGTGCGCGGATTTGATCAAACCGTGTTCCGAAATTAGGGGGTATCAAATTCAAGCTCAAATCTCCGGCAAACATTTCATCAGTGGGTTTAGTTCTGGTAAACGTTTCCATTAACATAATACTGTAACTGTAAATATTGCACCTTGTGGATACAAATCCTTCTAATCCATATTCTACATTCAACATCAAAATTAATCAAAAGAGTTAGTAATATGTGGAAGGAAAGCATATTAAGCTCCAACTAAAAATATTGTCACGATAAAAAAGAAAAGAAAACCTAAAGTAAGATTTGAATGAAAACTAGAGTTAAATGCTACACCTGGTGCAATATATCCCAATGTAGCTAGAGTATTGGGGTGCGCAATACTCTCCCCCTCACCTAAAAATTTTGCAATGCCAAAATCACAAAGATGCGCAACCATATCTTCATCTAGCAGCACATTACTGGGCTTCAAATCACAATGAACCAGTGGTGTTGAATAACCATGGTGGAGGTAGTCTAGTGCACATGCCAAATCTGTCATTATGTCTAATCTCTGCAAGATATTTAAGAAGTAGTTATGAGAATACAACCACTTTTCAAGACTCCCATTAGGCATGTACTGGAGTACCAAGGCTTTGAAATCTAGGTTAGAGCAGCTGTTGATAACTTTGGTAAGATTTCTGTGACGAATATTCCGCAACATTTCACATTTCGTATCAAAACTCTTGGATGCACCTTCTAGTTGCAAATTGAATACCTTAATTGCTAAAATGGTGCCATCTGTAAATGTACCTCTGTAAACAGAACCAAAACTTCTCGTTCCAAGCAAGTTGCTATCACTAAAACCATCAGTAGCACGTAGAAGTTCTTGGTATGCAATTCTTCCATGTGCTAGTGTGGGTAACAACTCCGTTTGAGGTGGAGTTCTCTCTCTCTTTTGGCACCTTATTGATACAAGTATGAAGGTTAAGGCAATTAAAGCAATTGGCAACAAAATGTATATAAGCAGAAGCATTCTTTTTGTCCTTGATTTATGAAGAGAGCTAGAATGGCATGGTGGGATTTGCAACTTCGGGGCACCACATAGTGCTTCATTCAACATAAAGGATTGAATTGTGAAGCTTGCAAATGGACCTCCGGTGGGAATTTGTCCTCTTAACCCGTTCAAAGATGCATTGAAATACTAAAGATGCAAGAGTGACTCAATTGACTTGGGAATTACGCCTGAGAGATTGTTGTAAGATAGATCCAAGGATTGCAAACTTATCAAGTTGCCAAATGACTCAGGAACAGGTCCTTGTAATCTATTATGTGCCAAAGAAAGATCAGCTAAGGTTTGCAGACCACCAACCTCGCTAGGGATATTACTTGAGAAGTTATTCACTGACAGATCTATTTGGATTACAGCCTTTAGCCTTCCAATATGTGGGGGAAGATAATCACTTAAATAATTTGAGGACAAGTTTAGATACAAAATATCTTCGAGGTTGAACAGATTTGTGGGTATTATTGAGGTTAATTTGTTGGAGTCAAGAAAGATTTCTCTCAGAAATGTAAAATTTCTTAAGCAAGTTAAAATCTGACCAAAAAGCTCATTTTCACTCAAAGCTAATGAACCCAGGTTCTGTAAGTGGCAGAGATCATTTGGAATCAGCCCTTGTATCCTGTTATCTTGAAGATCTAAAATTTTAAGCTTTTGCAACTGTTTCATTGTCTTCGGAATAGATCCAGTGACGCCATTACCATTTAGACGTAAGAAAGCCAAATTACTTAAGTTCCCGATATGATTTGGAATGCTACCTTTAATTTCACAGTGCCTTACATTGATATTTTGAAGCAAAGTGGACAGATTCCCAATGGAAACCGGAAGGATACCATTTAGAGGATTTTCTTCTATCCACAATCTTCGTAAATGTTTGCAGTTTGTCAAGGGTATTGACTTTTATGGCTCAAACTGATGTCAGCAATTTCATCACTTTTTGAATCACCCATTACTTCATCATTCTTGGCAGCCAAGGAGTGTATTCTGCAAGCTTCTCATGCGTGGTCAACAAGTCCAGCCTATTGAGTGGTCTCCAAGTCCAGAATTGATGTGTGAAGATATGTTGGCTATAAATAGCCTAGCCCATGTCATCCGAGGATCATTCAAAATCATCAATTATGAGTTTATCAATATGAGTATTAGAGTGAAAGATTTTGGGTGTGAGCTACTTTGCCTTGTATCTCTTTATTTCTATAGTGAAATATTATTCTGTCTTCTCCCCGTGGACGTAGGCATAGCCGAACCACGTATAAATCTTTGTCTTGTTTATGTGTGTGCCATTTTATTTTTCTTGTCTTTAATTTTCTCTTTTGTTCTCAAAACTCCTATTCGATCCTTATTTTCATAACAAACTGGTATCAGAGCTTGGGTTCGTGTATTGTGTACAGATACTGTTCACATATACGGTACTGTTCACAGATACTTTTCGGGTACTATTCACAAATATGGTACTATTCACCGAGAAATATTTTTGGAGAGTTTTTTGAGATGTCGACCAGATATGAGATTGAGAAATTTGATGGCAAGATTAGTTTTAGTCTTTGGCGCATTAAGATGCAGGTCCTGCTGACTCAGCAAGGTCTAAAGAAGGTACTGTTCGAGAAGGACAAGTTGCCAACAACTATGTCCGATGAAGACAAGGATGAGGTCGATGAAAAGGCGCGCAGTGCGATTATTTTGAATTTAACTGATGAAGTGCCGCGTGAAGTTATTGATGAAGACACGGCAGCAAAGTTATGGCTGAAATTAGAAAGTCTGTATATGACGAAGTCTCTCACCAACAGACTCTACCTGAAACAGAGACTCTACACCCTTCGTATGAAGGAAGGTATGCCTCCTAAAGAGCATATTGATAATTTCAATTCTATTGTTATGGATTTGAAAAATACTGATATTAAAATTGATGACGAGGATCAAACCCTTATTTTGTTGTGTTCTTTGCCTCTTTCCTATGAGCATTTTGTTACCACATTACTCTATGGAAAAGACATTGTTATTATGGAGGATGTTAAATTTTCATTGAACTCTCAGGAGTTGAGGAAAAAGGTGTCTGAGAATATTAGAGATGAAAAGGCCGAGGGTCTATTTGTAAGAGGCAAAGGTGGGACAAAGGGTTCTGGTAGTAGAGGCAAATCTAGATCGCATAAAAATGTGGAATGTTACTACTGTCACGAGATAGGGCACATCATCAAGCACTGTCCCAAACTAAAGGCATAGAATGAGAATGGGAAAGAGAAGGTTCAGGAAGCAGCTTCTGTGGCAACTGCTGCAACGAGTGATTCAGAAACTGACGATTATGTTCTCATGACAACCTTGTGTTCAAGTATGTCATTTAATGACAGTTGGATTCTTGATTCTGGTTGTTCAGTTCATATGTGTTCCGGTAGGGATTCTTTCTCTTCCTATAAAGAGGTGAAAGGTGGTTCGATTTTGACTGCGGACAGGAAAGCTTTCAAAATTTTGGGAATTGGAACAGTTAAGATCAAGACGCACAATGGGTTGGTGAGAACATTATCAGATGTGCGACATGTACTAGATCTGAAGATGAATCTTATTTCAGTAGGTGTGCTAGACTCCAAAGGTTACAAGGTTGTAATAGAAGGTGGAGTAATGATGGTCGTGATGGATTCTCTTGTGGTGCTACAGGGTACCAAGGTGAAAAATTTGTATCTTCTCTAAAGGAATACAGTAACAAGTGGAGCTTCTACAGGGTCTTCTACAGCTAGCAGAAATCTGTGTTCAGGTCTTGGTAAAAGAAGAGTTAGAAAGAGGAGTGACGATCTTAGTTCTCAAAAGGGTTGTGAGGGGACTACACAACATGGTGGGAAAATGAAATCCATTTTCAGATGGCAACTGAAATTGCAGCAGTCCTTATAGGGAGGCAGATCCATGAGGACATGTGTGATATTGACTTATAATAATCTTGGTGGCAATGAGATAGTCCATTCGAGTACCACTAAGATACGTGGGAGGCAAGTAGTTGGTCACAACAGAGATGCAAGGAAAAGTTAAGGACGTCCTATTCTTTACAAGGGTGAGAAGATGACTTTCCGTTACCAGCCGGTGGTTTGTGGGCAGTTGGAGAAGGTTGCTGAAGGAGATGTCAAATTTTGGAATTTCTGAGGTTGCTTTTGGAAAGAATTTAGAGTTTGACACAAATACTGGAGGTATGCTTGTGGCTACGCAAGACATGCATGGTTGAAGAATGAGAGCTTGAGAGTTAAGTTTGAGCATGACTCAACTTAATCAAAACATCTTCAATGACACCTCTAGGCTTTTTAATGGATCGGTCGGCAAGTTGCAAAACTACCGACTTCGGTTTCAATTCACCTAAGCCTAGTTTGACATAAACCGAGTAAGGAAGAAGGTTAACACTTGCTCCTAAGTCAATAAGTGCCCGATTAATGATATGTTCACCAATGATGCATGATGTAGTGGGTGAACTGGGGTCCTTAAACTTTGGAAGAGTGTTATGTTGCAAAATTGAGCTTACTTGCTCGATCAAAACCACCTTTTTTGGTGCTTGGCTTTTGTTCTTTTGCTTTTGGGTGCAAAGATCTTTTAAAAACTTGGCATAAGTCGGAATTTGCTTGATTGCATCTAAAAGTAGGAGATTAACTTTTACTTGCCCAAACATTTCCAAAATCTCATTGGTCTTGACTTTTGCTTTTATTTTGAAATGTACCCTTTCAAGGCGTCCGGAAATGGAACCTTTGGTTCAAACACTTTTGCAAAATTTTCTTTTGAACTCACTTCAACACAAGAAGTTTTCAAATTATTTTGTTTCAAATCATTTTTTAACAAAATTTTCTTAACATCATTTTTCAAAACTTTCTTCAATGGATCATTTTCAAGATCGCTTTTCAAATCACATTTTTCAGCTTTCTCATTTATAAGATCATGCACATGTAATGAATGAGGAATAGAATGTGAAACGGGACGGGTGACAACTTGTGGTTGCACCGGTTCACTCTCTTCATTGGTTATTTCTACTTGATTGTCCACAACTCTACCACTCCGCAAGGTAGTCACCGCATTAACATGTTCAATGGTAGGCCCTTCCGATGAGGAATGGGTTTCCACAACACATTGTTGCTTAGGTGGGGCATTAATAGGCATCTTTCCCTTCTCTCTAGCATTAAGAGTGCTAGCTATTTGCCCTACTTGGGTTTCTAGCTTTGCAATAGATTGAGAGTGAGAATGAAGCAATTGTGTGTTAGCCTCTAAAGTGCCCAAAGCATTTAAAACTTTCTCTTCAAAAACGGGATTTCGAGAATTACCTTAGGAATATGATTGGTTGGGAAAATGAGAATTAGAGAATTGATTCCCTTGTGATTGGTATGGCCTATAACCTTGGGATCCTTGGTTTTGCATTGGAGGTGGAATATACTTCCCTTGAAAACCGCCTTGGGGAGGGTTTGAGCCTTCCCCTTGGTTTTTCCATGAGAAGTTCGGATGATTTCTCCAACTTGGATTGTAATGAGTACCATAAGGATTGTTCCCTTGGTTCACAAAAGCCGCATTGACTTGTTCATTAGGTTCACTTTGCATTTGTCCATGAGGACAATGAGAAGTAGAATGAAGAATACTAGAACAAGTCATACAAGTTTCATTTGATGCACGATGAGAATGGTTAGGAAAGGAAGATACTTGGTTCGCTGAGTTCTGGTTAATCAAAAATTGATCAAACCTTTGAGACAAAGACTTCATTTCGGCGGCTATTTCATTTGAATGTTCGACTTGATGTAAGCCTACACTCTTCCTACCTTGTGAATTTCTACCATTCTTTGATGACAATGTTCTATGCAAAGAATTTTCACTCATACTTTCATAGAGACACCATACGTCATCCTCATGCCTATCAATGTAAGAGCCACCCATGGAAGTATCAACCATGCCCTTATAATTATTCGATAAGCTCTCAAAGAAATATTAAACTAATTGCCATTTGGGCATGTCATGATGTGGACATTTCCTTAGCAATTCATTGAAGCATTCCCATGCCTCATGAAATGTTTCTCCATCCCCATGTGAAAATTCTCGAATTGAGGTCCTCATGACATTGGTCTTAGAAACCAGATAGTACTTATTCAAAAACTCTTGTTGCATTTCTGCCCAAGAAGTGATTGAAAAAGGCCTAAGATTGTTAAACCAATATTTTGCCTTGTCTTTAAGGGTGAATGGAAAAATTTTAAGCCTTAAGACTTCTTCCGGCATGTCCGTGTATTTCACGGTAGAACAAACTTCAAGAAACTCATCCAAATGATTGTAAGGTTCTTCACTAGGAAGTCCATGAAAGTTAGGAAGCATTTGAATGGTTTGTGTTTTAATTTCAGAATGGTGTGCTCGAAATGGTGGCAATTGCATGCATGTGGGTGCATTGTATTCATTAGGCACATAATGGTCTCTTAAAGCAAGAGGTGAATTAGCTACTTGAGGTGCAACATGAACACCTTAATTTAGAATTCCTCAATTGACAATGGGAGGTTGTGGAGCATACATGGGCCTTGGCATTCCGAATGGAACTTGGCCTTGTTGTTGTGGTGGTGGGTGAATGTATGGCCTAGGCATGCCTAATGGTACTTGAATGTTTTCATTGTGCACATTTGGATGAAGGATGCTTTATTGGTCTATGTGACCAATGTCCTCAATATGGTCATCATTATGGT